CTGCACTTCAGCCTGGGCGACAGAGGGAGATTCTGAGCAAAAAAGAAAAATAAAAAACAATGATAAGCAAACAGCATCTGTGGTTTGCTTAATCATGTGCCGATGTCAATTTTCTGGCTTCGATATCCTGCTATGGCTATGGGAGGTGTTACTGTTTGAGGAAGCTGGGCAAGGGATCTGGGGGAAATCACTGTATTATTTTTGCAACTTCTTGTGAGTCTGTAATCATTTAAACATTTTAAAACCTTAATTACAAAGAAATACCTCTGACCATGTTGGGGGAACAGGAGAATTAGAGAGAGAGGATGAGGGAGGGAGGGGTAAGGGAAGGGAGGAGACCTTCCTGCCCTGCCCCGCCCCTGCCCAGACCTCTGGCATCCACCACCATCCCCACCCCCGCCTCCCTCTCCTGTCCTCTGGCCCCAAGGGGGGCGAGGTGACGCTTCCCCCGCCCGCCCCCCGGGTCTCCAGAGAGGCCCAGGATGGCCCACTGGGCGTGCAGGGCAGGACCGGAGAAATCGGCCCACTCAGCCCGGGAAGGGTCGCCCAGGTGCGCACACCCTGAGTGGAGGTGGCCCCGGCCCCCACCCGCCGCCCAGGCCCAGGGCTGCGGAGAGCGAGTTTCCCCAGGAGGCCATGTGGCCCGCCCACCGTGGCTTCCCCCACTTCCCTGCCCCCACCGGCCAGGCTGTGACTCCCAGGAGACCCTGGCACTTTGCAGATGTGCTGTGCTCAGCATTTCGCAAGAGGCAGAGGCTTCCAGCTAAGCCAGCCCACCCCACCCTTCCGCCTCTAGGAACCCAGATGCCCAAAAGGGGTCCGTCCTGGAGCCCCAGGAGGGGCAGATGCCAGGCCGGGCCTGACCCCGGGGCAACCTTGGGGCAGGGGGCTGCCACGTCCTCCTTCCCTGCCCAGGGACAAGACGCTTGGGCCGCAGGCTGGGCCAGGGCCCTGGCTGGCTGGAAGGGCTGCCGCTCATTTCCTCTGGGCTGCCTCAAGAGGGGCTTTCCAGGCTGGAAAGGGAAGGAGCCCCGGAGTCCCTGATGCAAGTGGGCCGGGGGCTGGCGGACGCCGCAGGAAAAGGAAGGCTGAGGTCCGGGCTCCCCACCCCCTCCCGCCAGGCCGGGAGCCCCGAGGTCAGGCTCCTCCTTCACACCACCTGGACGCGCAGCCGCCAGCGCCGGCCACACTGGGATGGTCCCGCGGGGTCCCTGGCCCCAGCCCACACCCCGCTCTCCACCACCAGCTGCTCTCATCCAACCAGACGGCACGCTCTGCTGTCCAGGACCGCCGCCTGGCCCAGATGCAGCGTGGCAGGGCCAGCCCTCACACCCACCACCCTGGGGCCTCAGCCGCCGCAGGCTCCTCGGGCCGTGGCCAGACGTCCCAGGAGCAGCAGCAACCAGGGGCCACCGGCCGGCTCTGCGGCCTCCGTGCCCTCCCAGGGGGCTGACGCCCCAGCCCCAGCCCAGTCCTGCTTCGCTCTCCAGCCTCCCACGGCTGCCAGCGCTCCTGATCCCAGCCCTGCAGGGGGATGAGGCGGCTGCTGGGAGGAGACCCGGGCAGCTGGCAGCAGACCCACGGCAAGTCCGGGCAGGGCGGCCATTCGGCCCCTCGGAGGCCCCCACCCCCCGCACCCCAGCGTAACCTCCGGGCTGCGGCGGGAACTTGTGCAATGTTTCAAGAGGGAACAGAAGCCTGTGGGTGCCATCAGAAACTCCGGCTGGGCTGCTTCACTCGGGGGCTGGCAGCAGAGCGGGAAGCACGCCGGCCACTGCCCTGCCAGCCACTTGGCATTCCGGGAGATGACCACAGCGGCCCTGGGCCTGACCCCACTGGGCATCTCCCCTCCAGCAGGGGGACCCCCGGGGAGCCACCCCCAGACCTGGGGCAGGGATTCACCCCGCCTCTTTTCCCCACAGAGGGCCCCCCGACGTGGTAGGGCGTGCAGGAAGGGGCTGTTCCCGCCGCAGCCTGTGGGCGACTGGGCTGCTGGCTGCCGGGCCCACTGCCCTTCCTGTTTGCGCTGCCAGGCTGGCAGGCCTCGCCCACAGCCCCAGCCACTCTTCCTGGGTGAATTGGAAGGAACCTCCCCAACCTCTGCCCTGGGCCTGCTCCACCCGGAGACCGCAGCCAGATGGGCCATTGTGGGGGCCCCAGCGTGGGAACCCGCTAGCTGGCCTGGGGCTCAGAGGGTGGCCCAGAAATGGGTCAGAACGAGAGGCTCAAAGGAAAGGAGGGGATGAGTCAAAGTGAAAATGAGGGGTCCTCCCGCATTTCTGCTCCCAGGCCTCCTGACTCACTGGGCTCGCCGGGGCACAGGCGGGCCCCACACCAGCTCCATGGCCCGTGGGCATTGCGAGATCAGGAACACGCCCCCCCCCAGCTGGGCTTTCCTGGCGGGCCAGCCTCCCCGTGGACACCAGGGGAGGGGGCAGCTGGGTTCCACTCTAGCCGTTGGGCAGGCCCCGGCCCCCCGCCCCTGTGGACAGCGGACAGCGACTCCTGGGGAGGGGCACAAACCCCAGTGCAAGGGTGCCTTAGAGAGCCGCCGAGCCCGGCTGCCCACCCGGCTGCCCACCCGGCTGCCCACCTGGCTGCCTACTGCCTACCGCTCGGAGGGTTGGCCAGAGCAGGGCAGAGTCCAGACGCGCGACGCGCGCGCCCCCTGGCGGCCACTCGCAAGGCCTCTGGCTGCTGCAGAGAGAGCCAGTGAGCTAAATGCTCTCAGGGCCAGGGTGGGGCTGGGAAGCCACTCTGGGCTGGCCTTTGGAAAGGTGGTTGCCCAGAGGGCTGGAGCCTCCGAGGCTGGCCAGGCGGGCTCCAGGGGGGGACACGGCCAAGGGACGGCACAATGAGTCCCCCCAGGGTCTTGCTGGGTGGGGGGTTCTGCACACAGGTGTCACCCCAGGGTCATGCTGAGGTTTGAGGATGTCTCCCTTGGGCCTCTGTGCAGGGAAGGACACAGACGGGGAGGTCACTGAGGCGTCAACCACGGAGGCAGCACCGGGGGGCGCTGGGCTGCCAGGGCTCAGGCGAGCTCAGGGCGAGGCGAGCGGGTGGGCCAGGGGGAATCTTGTCTCTTGCTGCTACCCAGCCAGGGCAGGGGCAGGAGCTGCGGCTGGGCTCCAAGGCTGCTGCCTGAAGGAGGAGGGCGACGACCCCTCCAGCCAGGCCCCTGGCCCCGGAGAGGGATGTCTGGAGTCCCTGCAGGATTCGCAGCAGCCCACCCACACTCTGGGGTTTTTGGGGCTGGGAGGCTCTTGTTGGCTAGCCACAGAAGTTTGGACAGAGTTGAGGGGCTGTCCTCGTCTGAGCAGCTTGGGGCCAACGGAAGCCAACAAGGGCAGGTGGGGAGTGGGGTGCTGAGCTGCATAGGGGCTGGTGCCAGATAAGTGGGCTGAAGACGCCTCCCAGCAGCACCCAGCCCCCTACCCACCCTCCCCCAGCCTAGGCCCACTGCCACTGTGAGGGAGTCCCTGTCATCAAGACCTGGGTGAGCAGGGGGAGCCCAGGGACAGGTTAGGGACCCCCCAAGATGGGACTCAGCAGGTAGCTGCTCTCAGCCCCCAGGTCAGGCCAGCAGGAGTCAGGCAGGTGTGTCCTCACTCGAAGGAAAGACCTCAGAGTCTCAGGGGAGGCTGCCAACCCTGGGTCTGCTGGGCCCTTGACCCTGAGCGTGGCCTCGGTCTACACCCCACTTTCTCCATGGCTGTTTTTCAACAGCTCAGAGTGAAGGACAGTGGGCAAGGGCGTGGCATCTGGTGGTGAGTGTCCACCCCACCCCACCAGCACAGGGTCCAGAGGGAAACTGAGACTCCTGGCTGAGGACCAGTCCAAGGTTATAGCTGAGAGTAGGGATTGGGGGCTTCCGGGCCTGGGTGGACTGCAGTCCCCAAACACACTGCTTACTACAAACCAGCTCTGCAAGCAGGGGTGACCCCCTCTCTTCAGGGACCTGGCCATCCCCAGCCAGCCTTATCTTCCCCTTGTCAGAGCCACATAGGTACCAGCCTTCTCCTGGCCCCGCAACCATCACGGGGCTTCCGAACCCGATTCATCCTCCTCAGCCTCAGTGGGCCAGACAGCTTCAGCCCCTGCACCTTGGCCTGGTGCCGGCCTAATCTGGGCATCTTGGACCTCAGAGCCCCCCACTCTGGGCCTCACTCCTGAGTGTGGAACATGGTGGGTGGACCAGTTCCCTTCCCCAGCCCACTGCGTGTGTCCCTCAGGCCTTTCTGCCTGGCATATGCCCCACCACATTTGCAGGGGCCAGAGGCCTGTGGTGCCCCGAGAGAAACCCACACTTGATGTCTGCATCCTGCCCCTCCCTGCCTGAAGGCGGTGGGTGCCCCCCTCCCAGCCCCGTGTTTCACACAGGATGGGGTCTTCCAGGGAGGCAGCACGGCCCTGGGCTGGCCTGGTCCCACACTGCACCCTTCCCCTCCCCCACCTCGGGGAAGCCAGGTGGCAGGGGCGAGAGAAGGGTGGGGGTGGCCCTGTCCGCCCTCCCCCACGCCCGCGGGAGAGGACGCCCCCCTCTGGGGG